CCCCCCGCGCACATTACGCTCGTAACTGTCCTGTTTTTCCTTATCAAGAACAAGAAAAATCCTATCAAAAAATTATATCTAGGGCATCGCATCGCCCGCTCTTCCACCTAATTATAATTTCCCCCACTTGGAAGAAGGAAGACCGACAAATCCTTGATAAGTCATATATCCACAATCACTGGGATCGCAACCCCGTACCATTATAAAAAAAAATCGTGATACTGTAGATTTCATATCTTAGCCCCGTTAGAGCAGTAGCTGGTTTGCCGGTTGTGTAATTATATCGGCAATTAGTTGATTTAATGCAAAACATCAAAAGACCTCTTTTGTAGCTGACAAAAAATCTTTCAGCATGTGATAAATTTTAAAAAATGTCTCGACATTTTCTCCTAAAATCAATTCTTATAGAGATGATCTCATGCTTAACACACCGTTGGTCCCGCAATGAGTGCTGCGCAGCACTTTTTACGATTTTTTTTGTAAAAACCGCTAGAAAAAAAATCTCGAATCCCGGAAAAAGTCGACCACGAAAAATTTTCAAGTTGGGTCGGTTTTAGCATGTTTTGGATGTGGGGGGCTATTTTTTCCTGGTCTATTTTTTCCGCCTACCGAAAAATCCCCGTCACAAAGGTTTCGAACTATATGTTTTGTCAGTAATATTACGTTCAACGAGTGGCGAATTGTGCCTTTTTTCATTTACAAAGAAATGAAATGGCACTTTTCAGTACGCGGTGAACGTAGCAGCAGTGATAAAAAATTTTGTTTTGGATGAAATATAGCAATTTTAACTTTAAGACTATATGGGTCACAAGCAGCGAAACACAGCAAAGTGCTGAATATCCGAAAAATGCTACCCAACTTTAAACTGGAAAAAAAATTAACGATAGTATTTACAGTCGAAATTCTTGTAGTTTGATCAACGATACTTTAAAGTTTGGTGTTGATTCTTTAAAAGATTTTTTTCATCGATTGTTCGTTAGTTTTGCGTGGCTAACGGAGTGTTAAGAATATTTCCTCTAAACAATCTACACCTTGTTTTATCACTCAATCATTACTTCGTTTCTATTGATTGAAACGTTGGAAAAAAATCGCCAAGGCCATAGAGAATGATAATCCATGGCAAACATAGTCTGGCCCTCAAGCAACTAAACATCGAAACGAAATCTCATGTAACGAAAGACGATAAAAAAATGTATCAATTCCATGCTGGTCTTGCGTTTCAATGTGAATTAGAATCGTGTAATATACTCAACCGGTTCGCCTCCCCTCTACAACATGCAACCGTAGACAGTGGACCTAAGCCACGGAACTATGTTCCTCTCTTCATTTTCATATTTTCAAACTTTCCCTTGAAATAAATCGCAATATATTCAGTTTTAGACGATGTTGGAATGAGATCAATCGAAGATGCATTTGTTGGATTATGTTGTGAATATACTGAAAAGGGAGAGGTTCAAAGTTATGAAGAGACATTCTATAACTTCCCAACCCGAAGGACGGAGGTCAATTCAATAACCCCGAAAATCAAATGTGGAATTTCCTCGATATCCCCTGCTCCATGACCTCCAGAATCATTCTAGCACGTTTTTAAAAACATTTTTGTGTGTGTGTATTTGTATGTAGTCGAGATTGTGGCCAACGATACCTCGCGATTGGAAAATGAAATGGAGATTTCATTTTCTTGCAATCGATGGGTCCGCTCGTGATTCAACTTCACAGTCGTGAAAATTCCATCTCACTCGTATCGAAATATACTATTTTGTAATTCAATAACCTATAAACGTGAGATTTTACAATTTACAAACTTTTTCTTGCAATTGATGTGTTTCCATGTAAGTCGATTCTGATTAGATGTTGAGAAAAATCGTTTCAACACTTGTTCAGCTATCCGGATCTAACTTTTAGGATTGGCGTTTTTTTAATAAACAGAAAGACAGCATGTAGTTGGGAAGTTATCGGTTTGACTCGTACTTGTCCGGACTCTCTCTCTCTCTCTCTTTTTCTCTCCCTCTTCCTTTCTCTCTCTCTCTCTCTCTCTCTCTCTCTCTCTCTGTCTCTCTCTCTCTCTTCAACCTACCTCTAACCAACGCATCCACAATGAGCAAGTAAATTAAGTAATCTACGGAAGAGGTCTCTTGATATTTTTCGGTATACCTGAATAGTTTCAAAAATATCAGTGGGACAAATTCCTTAGATAGCAGCCGATAACTACAAAATGTCCCGAGGGCAACGTTATGGGAAAAAAATAAACGTTTGGATGAAAAAATATTAATAGACCTCTTTCATAGAGTATTTTATAATTCCCGAAATAACTCTCTGTACCTTTCGTTCTGACTCTGATAGTGCTAAAAATATTTGTGTAATAATCGTGACTGCAATTTTTTAGCTTCGTCTTGCACAAAAATGATTAACCGATTATTCGGTTAGTAGCTCCGAAACTTGTATAGTCTAAGGCTGAGGGATGATAAAATAGTACATAGTGGAAAAAGTTCTAAATAAGCTAAATTTTCAAAATAAAACAAACCAAAAATAATCTTGAAAAACCCTGATCGGTACAATTGTTCACACAAATTTGAAGGTGGAATTTCACGGTTTTGTCGATTAATCTCCGAAAATATAGCTCTGATCGTAAAAACACTAATTCATGTCACTAGACTCGATAAACCGCGGTTCTCATCCCACTCCATTCCGTTTAAAGGCAGTTTTTGGGCATCGCAATATAAAATTGATGAAATCATGCGGTCAATAAAGTAGTTCCCGACTCATGTGATTATCATAATAAAAAGTCACTCTCATCATAAAATAGTTTGTCAACCTAAGCGTATATGTAATATATTAAGTTTGCTCGTTATCAAACCTCGAATTAAAAAAAGGCTCTATGCTTTTTTTCACTCCGGGCCATCGTTTAACCCTTTATGGTGAAAAGCGTAGTAGGTGGCTCGAGTGGGGACGTCGGTATTCCGCTTTGCTAGCCATAGACAGGGGATATTGAAATTCACCTTACAGCATTAAGAATATCCCGGAAAGAAAATACCTTGGCAAACTAAATGCGTATGTCGTAGGTTAAGCGGAGACTGCTATAAGTTTTAAATGTCGCGGACTATTGGAGTGCGATTTCTCATACATAGAAGATCGATTATATATATCTAAAAATGAATAATTAGTGCAAAAAAATTAATCGTCTATTGCTCATTTGCTCCGCAGACGCTTAAAATATTAAAAATAGTCCAGCGCCTCCAATTTTTAAGCTATAGAGGTTTCTTTTTTTTTTTAATTTTGAAAAAATGTGTACAATAACAATTACAAATTATTTTTTTGAAAATCAACTCCTACACAGCTATTCCGTTATTTTTTCAATAAAAAATTGCACCATTCATGTAATAATTTTTCTGCCTATTTTATACCAATGGCACAAATTTTCATATTAAACAAAACGAAGTTAGCTGTGTAGGAGTCGAATTTCAAAAAACTAATTCGTCATTATTATTGTATACAATTTTCAATTTTTTCAAAAATTTTGAAAAAAAAAGAAAGCTCTGTAGCTCAAAAATTGGAGGCCCTGGACTAGTTTTAACATTTTAAACGTGTGCGGGGCAAACGAACAATGAACAATTATTTTTGTTTGCACTAATTATTCGTTTTTAAACATGTGTAATCGATCTTCAATGTGTGAGAAAGCTCACTCCAATCGCCCGCGACTTTTAAAACTCACAGTAGTAAGTACAAACTCAAATATTGATAGAGCTTGGTTTTTGGATCCTAAAAATGTATCAAATAATGTTTCCTCATACTTTCTTTTGAAACCACTAATTGCCAAGATAATGACGAAGAAATCTTCCGTTCTCCATTATCTCGCCACGGCCTTCAATAAATAGTCTGCATCCTTCGATCAATGCACAAACACGTCCTTCTCACAATAATCATTCACCTTTTCTTAGCCATCATAATTTTCGAATAATAGTTTCTACTTCACTCGGTATCCATAATAGTCTATCAGTTCATCATAAATTATCCCCTATCTCACAGAATCAAGTTTTCAACTTCATTACTTTATTCAAACATCTATCATTGATTTGCTAATGCAGAAAAACCAGTTCAGTGGGAGGTGTGCTCATTGTCACGCTCGATCGAAGGCAAAACTAATTCATTAGAGCACCCCTGCTCCCCCTTGATCTGACAGAATTGCACTTAATCCTGATTTTAAAAAAAGCCTTCATAGAATGCTTACATTACAAAATCCCCAAGCTCACTTCTCGCTACAGGCATCCAATGGTTTAACGTTCGCACTTCAAATCATTGAAGTGTAGATAACGTAAATTCAGTCCAATAAATAACATCAATGATCCGTGAATAAGTGAAAGGGGAGGAGTTGAGGTCATTGTCTCATTTTTTAGTTATAACTGAGATCAATGAGCCTTTGGTTTTATTCCTCTCATCTTCGTCTTAATTATCTCTACAACGAGAATTTCTTCAGCTATATAGAAGGCCGTCCTGTACTTCCTTCATATTCACCCGTGATATCACGATAAGCTCGAAGAAAATTTGTAATTAACAAGTGTTTTTTTTTTTTGAAAGGCGTCAAACTCTACTCATTATATTTTCCCCCAGTCAACAGAGAATGTGCCATCGGCCAGTAAAATTGATTGTATCCCCCCCCTCAAATGTCTCTCAAATCACCATATACTTCGGCCATGTGTATTTATAAATCATCAAGCATCTAAAAAATTTCCTAGAGCTACGACGAAACAGGTAGTGGGGACACACTTCATGGAAACCTACCAGCATAACAAATCGCCATTATCCCTCGTGTCTCAATGAATTCAATAGATTTATCAACTACTCTAACAAAATGCAATAAAACGTAGTCTCGTTACCGTGGAATTGAAGAAAAAAAATTTAATTCAGAATAAGAAATGAAAAAAAAAAACAAATTTATCAATCGATGATTCTTGCGCTGGATATTTTAGCCGTTGTCAGTGGTTATCTTCGGTTGTGTTGTACAAGGTCACTTCGGCGGCGTTTTAATAATTCACCACTCAACCGTTGTACGTATCCACTCTTAAATGTCTTAGTCAGCGTCTTTTCACCAATTTTTGGGAATTCACAATGATTTCTCGATTCCACGTGTAACGATACGCGAACTGCATGCTACTGTAAAACATTAGCACACTCCAACATTGAGATGGTTTAAAGTCACGGTGATGCTTTAATGATGCCAGTATCACGGATTTTTATCTTCAGTTCTTCTACTTATTTAAATTAATATTTAAATGCATCAGAAATTGTTCTACAAGTTTTAAAAACACTGCTCAATGGTTTGATAGTCTGGATAAGAATGTTCTGTAATAGATGGATTCAACAATCAATTGGTCTTCAATGAATATATTCAATTGATTAATCAAGTCTCTGATTCATTGATATCGCTGATTGCGATTGTTTCAATGAAATTGAATTGAAACAAATTTTTAACTCAATTTTTCAAATTCTCAAGTAACAATAAAACGTGCGTTAAGACGAAGAATGTGAGTAATTAGTTTGTACTACTTCGCACTGACACGATTCAACTGGTAGCGCTGGTTTCCGTGGCACTTGATCAACTTGAGAAGAAGGCTGATGATGAGGAGAAGGGGTTTTGTGGAAAATTGGAGGGGGTGGAACAAGTTTTAACACGTTTGGAGTCATGTGGTTCATTCTGTTGACCCGTGCAACATAGAAACCCAGCTTTTACTTATCTTTGGACTTTCCCTCCTTCGCTTCGAGACTTTTAGGAGCGAGGGGGGGAAAGAGTTGGTCTGCTGGAGGTTGACCACTTTGTCTTGCGAGATTATTATTATTATTATTATTATTATTATCTCCAAGAGTTACTGTATTATTTGCAATGATTTTATTGGCTGTTTGAAAGTAGTGAACTGAGTCGGATTGTCTTGTTACCATTATAGCTACAATGAAAGGAAAAAATGTCGAGAAAAATTCGAAAGGGGAGGGGGCGGGGTCTACATTTTGGAGAAAAAATTATTGCGAGGCTTTTGATAGGAAAGTAAATGAACATAACATTTGGAGATTATTTCAGGAAAATCTTCGGAGGAAAGAATTGCAGTGGATAATTGCAGAAATATCTGTCAATGGATGCGCAAAAATCGCCAGATGGCATTGTAAATAGCTCGAAAATTACAGAGCTCATCGCAAAATATCCAGTGACTTTTCGTTGTAGATTCTGAAATTCTCCGCAGGAACGGTCCTGCGATATTTTCGTATGAGCCTTTCACTATACGAAATGTTTATCAAATAATGAAAAGTAAAATTTTTCGCCTTGGCGTAGGCACAACCACGGGAGGTTAAATAAAGGATCCTTACCCGCGTACATATCACGGCAATTCCGCCTGTGGGCACGACTTCTTTATTTTACCACCCTAGGTTAGAAATATACAATGTTTTACCTTCTTTGATGTATTCATCCAATTCCTCCAATAGTTGGGTAGCAACTTGGGCACGTGAGGGGGTCTCGCCGTACAGAGCTCCATCGTTGGGATCACTTATGATTGATGATGATGGTGATAATGATTTGTCATCGGTGTAAAATCTGTCATCCTCAGAGTCACCAGTTGATGTCCCACTTGGGGACACCGGCTCCACTTTCCACATCCAGGATTCGTAGGACATGGCTGCTGCGTTTTGTCTCTTGGTGTAACAATGATAAGTTTATTAACGTTAATTGCGGCGTCACTAAGACGTAGCTCGTGATGAGCGCCATTTTGGCCCTGGAAATAAATAAATAAATCGATTACTCATTAGATTACTTATTTTTATTAGAAATAAATATGGAGTCAAATGGTGAAAAATCGTAAGCCTCAATGTGAATTTTTCTTCATTATTCATGAATAGTCGTTCTATAGTGATTTGTCTAGTGAATGGGCGATTCTAGGGGAGAATGGAGCAAAATGAAACAGTCGAAAAATGACTCTTTGACGCAATTCAAACAAACAAAATTTTTTTTTGTTAAATTTTTTTTATTATTGGGAGTACTAATGAGAATAATAATTTTCTATTCGTCTTATAATTCAATTGATTAGATTAGGCCGATTACACTTTTCTTTTTTCATTTAATTAAAATTCAGCATCACATTTTCCTTTTTTCTTCTCTGGGTCCCTCCCTGGGCCTTCCCCTAGACTTTGGATTTTGCTATTTCATTTTCTTTTCAATTAATCCATTGACAAATTTTCTTTTGTCAAAACTTCTCAATAATTGTTCATTCTACTGAATGGAAAATTATTATTCTCATTAGTACTTTCAAGAATAAAAAAAAGTTGATAAACAAACTATTTATTAAAAAAATTATTTTTCGCTTCAATTGCATCAAACAGTCATTTTTCGACTGTATCATTTTTCCCCACTCCCCCTATGGAAAAATATATATAGAAAGACATTGTTTGTGATATTTTTTGTACTACAAGTAATGTCCACTTCCTTGATTGGGTTTCAAACATGATGGGATATTAAGTGAGGATCTCCATGTTTCCCCTGTTTCATCTGAGAAAAACCTAATAATTAGTGTGAAAACACTCATTGTTAATTGTCCGTTAGCAATGCAAAAGCCTGAAATTATAAAATCGAAAGGACAATCCAGTGCACTCATTTTTTTTAGCTGAACAACTTTTAATTTTGAATACACTGGACTGTTTTTTCGATTTTATCACTTCAGGCTTTTGCGTGGCTAACAGACAATAAACAATGAGTGTTTTTACCCTAATTATCAGTTTTTACACATATGAACCATAGGTGAAACATATGGAAATCCTCTTTTCAAGAACCCGTATGTTTAAAACTCATCTTTCATCTTTCTTCAAGTTCGATCGCCAACTCACAACAAAATCGTCATTAAAAATGAAACATAATGAATGCATGTCCATTGACAATGGTTTACGTTCTACTTGAAAACTCTCCACGTTCCTAAACAGATAGAACAAAAAGTAAGTTATGGGTTTGAAAAAAATAAAAATGTAATGTTTCGATGACAAATTTTAATTTTGTTAATGTTTTTTCCATTTCTAGTCTGCTTATTTCTCCTATTAACCTTTATGATGCAATCCTTCATGACGTCACGGCACCAAGCAATCCCCCACTCCTTTCTTTAGCGCCAAAACCAAAACATGGCCGAAAATTTGATCAAAAACTTTCCAATGTTTATTCACTATTTTCATATCGACTTCAAAGACCAATTTTTTCGATAATTTTCGAGGTTTTTGAAACAAAACTCGTCACTTGTGGCTCCAAAGCATTGATCGCGATGACTCACAAAATGGCGGACAGCGGTCAGAGTGAGTACAATAACCGAATGACCGAATTGCACAGAATGAAAGAGTTGAAAAATGATTTTCAATAATGGAAAACGATTGGAGATGATTTACTTACTCCATTTTTATAGTTGTTGTATCGGCACACTTGCGTGTGCAAGCCGGATCCCGACTAGAAACCCATCTTCACTGTAGAGAGAGCGGTTGGAAATATGCAAACGTCTTCTTTCGGTGTTTCATGGAGGGAGAGTGAGCATTGCAAGCGACCGCGGCGCGCAGGATATGGCTTCCGTCGACTTGGAGTCACATGACTTAACGGGAAATTTCTCGCAGTTGGAGAGGGGTTCAGAAAATTACGACAGCCACAGTGGCGAAACGTGTATGGCGGCGAAGGTGGGGGCTAAAGAAGCCGTAATGTATTTATATCTGCACAGCACAGGCGCAGTGGAGCTCTCCAAGCCGTCACCATGTCGGAAATTAACAAAAAGCTTGAACCTAGTGAGCGTCTAGAGCTTACATCAGGTTTCAAATCAAGTGCGCGTATTGGGAAGCATAGTACTCAGTTGAGGCATCTGATGACCAGACATCGAAGACAAATTTATTTGTTTACTGTAACGCTGGACTCAAACCAGTTTTTCTAGTAAGTGAGAGCAGGGCCGGCGAGTTCCCTCTGCTGAATAGGCAGAGAAATGGAAAACAAAAATGAATTTTTCGAAAATTGATTTTCCACGCTCTTTGCATATTATGATGTTAATAAGGAATAAGAAAGTACGTTTCATCAATACAAATAACTATGTATGGAATGAAAATTGTAATTACAAGATAAAATCATGTAAAATCGATATTCGTGTTATTAATTTTTTTTCATTGTCTTTCCGGCTATGCAATACACGAGCGCACATTTTTCAAAAATCAATTCCATCGAAAATTTTCTAAATTTTTCAAAAAAAATATCAGATTTAGGAGAAGAAATGAGGAACAGGCTCAAATCAACGTTTAAGGTTTTATTTTTCGATTTTCACCATGAAGTTGAAGTGGAGGAACAGAATGACCACCATTTTTGAAAAATTCAGAAAATTTCCAATCGAAACCTGTTTTTAATTTTTTTTCAGCATTTTTTAACTCGTCAAATAAGAACGAATAATTTCGAGCCTAAAACGCTAAATTATGCGGAGCGCGTTGAATTAAGCTACACGATCTCTGCTAGGCGAGAAATCCTCTTTTCTATACATAAGTATTGAGAAGAATAAGGAAAAATTATCGTAAATTTTGAGGCCAGATCTGGCACGATATTTGGCGGAATGGCCCATAAACAAATGAATTCTCATAATTATTCAAAGAATTTTTTCCCATTTACGTGTTATTTTTCGGATGAATAAACCAAACTTAAGGGCCAAGTCGGAAGGTCAGGCCCAGAGCACAGAATAGATACACAGAATACATATCTATCTGTGCCCCGTGGGCAAATCTCATGGCCGTAGTCATGTTTGTTAAACAGAACACCATTCCTCAGTAGGTGGGTTTGGATATGTGCATAGGTGAAATAAAATTTTGGTTAACGGTTTCTCTGTAACGAATGGTCTGATCCATTTTTTTTCATGCAATCAATAGGTTTTCATGTAACGCATCGATGAATGTGATAATGGCTTTTTAAGTGTATTCAGGGAATAGTTTTGATCATAGTCGTTAAGACCGTGGTTTTGATGAATATTTTGAAGTTGAAGGATGTATTGCCTCCTTGCAGCCAATTTTCTATCTTTTTTTTTCTTGAATTTCTGACACGATTAATTGGACTGACTCGAAAAATATATTCGCTTTTGCGTTGTAGCATTATTTGATGCCATGCGAAGTTTCATAATCGTGCAATCATTTTCCGACATTTTTCTATTTCTTTTTGGGAATTCCTAAATACGGACAAATTAACGGTGATGAAATTTCGAGATTTTAGACTTCATTAAATAATGATTTCCGAGGCTCTCATTCCCGAAATCACGGCGCCATTCTGGTATGAAATCAAGTGATTTCAGCTCTCCAAAATCATTTTCGAAATCATCGCCGAAATCATCTAAAATCGTTTGAAATCAATGAAATCATCGAAATTAGTGGCGCACTGGCCTAGTGGGAACCGTGCAAGTAATTTGTGATTTTGAAATTGATACGCCTGCCAATGGTGGTAGTAAAAGGTCGTACTTACTGCCATAATAAAATTGTAAAATAGAACGCTTTTCATCCTCATTAACTTAAGATTGACGGAGTG